AAATTGTTTACAAATTGATTTGAGATATGAGGCCGACACTTTTTGGGGCCAGTGTTGAAGGATAGGACACTGCTCACCTATCTCTTAACGTTATGAGATCGAACGAAGACAAAGTGAGCTTCGTAAATGGACTAGGTTCCGTGATTTTTGGACCTCGCAAAGTTAAAAAAAAATTTTTTACAAATTGATTTGAGATATGAGGACGACACTTTTTGGGGCCTGTGTTGAAGGATAGGACACTGCTCACCTATCTCTTAACGTTATGAGATCGAACGAAGACAGGGTGAGCTTCGTGGATGGGCTAGGTTCCGTGACTTTTGGACCTCGCAAAGTTCAAAAAAAAATTTTTTACAAATTGATTTGAGATATGAGGACGACACTTTTTGGGGCCAGTGTTAAAGGATAGGACACTGCTCACCTATCTCTCAACGTTATGAGATCGAACGAAGATAGGGTGAGCTTCGTGGATGGACTAGGTTCCGTGATTTTTGGACCTCGCAAAGTTCAAAAAAAAATTTTTTACAAATTGATTTGAGATATAAGGACGACACTTTTTGGGGCCTGTGTTGAAGGATAGGACACTGCGAAGCCAACCGAGAAACCCGAATTCCGAGAGGCCGACTTAGAAAAACTCGGTTTGCTCTCGTCTTCGTGAAACGAAAGGCTCGGAATTCGGGTTTCTCGGTTGGCTTCGAAGGGTCCTATCCTTCAACACTGGCCCCAAAAAGTGTCGTCCACCATATCTCAAATCAATTTGTAAATTTTTTTTTTCATCTCTGCGAGGTCAAAAAGTCACGGAACCTAGCCCACCCACGAAGCCCACCTGGGCTTCGTTCGATTCATTCCCAACGTTAAGAGATAGGGGTGCACGAATTCCGACTTGAAAACCCGGTTTCCTCTCGCCTTCGTGAAGCGAAAGGCTCGGAATTCGGGGTTCTCGGTTGGCTTCGCAAGGTCCTATCCTTCAACACTGGCCCCAAAAAGTGTCGTCCTTATATCTCAAATCAATTTGTAAATTTTTCTTTTCACCTTTGCGAGGTCCAAAAGTCACGGAACCTAGCTCACCCACCAAGTCCACCCTGTCTTCGTTCGATCGATGCCAGCCAGCCAGCTCCCCCCCCCCTTTCCCATCCCCTTGCACGGGCCGGATATGCAGGATTTCGTGTTCGGATGATCTTCCTGTTCTCGTAGATTAGTTCACATATTCAAAAAGAAAAAAAAACACACACATACACACAATTTTGTTTTTGTTTTATAAATTTATTTCTTCCAACAAACAAAATATATTCTATAGCTACATAAGATTATTTCTTTTCAACCAGTCATCGTCCACTATAACAGTGTCCGTATCGGATGACACCTCATTGTCCGCGGAATCACCGACCGAGTAGCCTTCGTCCGAGATCTCTTCATCCGAGCTCTGTTCGTCCGAGGTCTCATGTACCGTGTTTTTTTCATCGTCCGAAGACTCGTCTTCTGATTTAGAAGAGTCGACGTTTTCTTTAAATTTCTTTGGCTTATGAATTATCTGAAAGAAAATAAATAAAATAAACAACAACAACAACACACTTCAAACATCTCGTCCTCTAACAAACAAATCATCTTCGTCGTCGTCGTCGTCTTCACCACCACCACCACCACCACCGCGTCGGCTTTCTTTCACACGTTCGTCGTCATCGTCGTCGTCGTCGTCCGCATTCGAGTTGCGTTTTGCAGATTGGGCCGATGTCGACCTGGAGAGCATGAAGTTTTGCAGCAGTACGATTGTGGCAAACCTCACGGAATGCGCGACGGTAAAAGCCGTGGCCCAGTGCTTTCCGAGTTTGTTTGTCGGACAATCGGTTGCGTCGATCTTGGTAGCGCTGAGATCGAGAAGATTCTCGTAGCAGGAATTCATCGAGTTGCAGTCAAATAGATCCCTACCGTCAAAAACGCACAGACCGAGCCGGTAGATTAAAACGTTACGTATCAGATCAACAGTTGCCATCGCGACGCTGGTGATGGTCGCCGCCTTCCACACGTTTCCTATCGATTTGTATCTCGATAGTACAGCCGCCAAAACGAAAGGATACACCACGTACTCCGAGGACAGCGGGTAAACGACCGCGCCCGACAGAACGTCTACCATGATCGTTGCATCGACCACCGGCAACCCCAACGTTTTGTACCACGTCCAGTCGCTGCCGATGCGGCGGTGGTTGCGGCCGCCAACCTTCGTCACTGTGGTTTCGAAGATATAAAATAACTAGCACGCCCTCATTTCTGAACCGGTGCGCGTGGAGTACATAAACGCGCAACAGTAACAGAACAAACCGCATTTAAAACCCGGTAGTCAAAAATAGAAATATACGTCATATTGACTAGCCAATAACGGCAAATAAAAAGGTGTTTTGGCGAAAA